GAAATATCACATTAAAAGCAAAAGCAAAACCAAAGCAAAAAAAGACCTACTAAAAAGATAAAATATTTAAATTAATGATTTATTATTTTAATACTTGAAAGAAAAAGTCAAATTTAAATGAATCATTTTAAAATAAAACAACTACTAAATAAAGGTGAAGTATATTTTGACAGTCCAACTGCTTTGCTCTAATGTAGAGTTTCACAGCGTTTGTCAACTGATGAAGAATAAATTAAATCAGACAAAAATCGAATTAAAATAAATAATTACATTTCAAAATAAAACAAACAAAACCAAACACTTACTAAAAAGATTAAATATTGAATTTAATTAATTAATTTAATATTTTAATTAAATGAATGTCATGTCATGCAGCCATTAACCGAGAACAGTGAACGTGAATATGTTGTTAAATTACAGAAATATTAAAATTCTAATCTCAGGCAGACCTAAATATTTTAGGTCAAAAGTATTCCACTGATAAAAAAAGTTTGGGAACTCTTGCAGTAATGCAAAGAAAAGGTTTTAGAAAGAAGCTTCCTTCTATTTTATGTACATTTAGTTTTTTATTTTTATTTCAAGATTCTTTGATGAACAGAAAGTTCAAAAGAACAACATTTCAACAGAAATCTTTTGTCACATTATAAATGTCTTGAAGAATAAAAGTATTCATATCTTTCCAAAACAATTCCCCCCAAACATTTCAAAGCTAGTGTATTTCAGCACAGAAAAGGCTTAGAGAGCAAACTGTTTTGAGAGCGACTACTGCTAAAATAACATCACCGTGATATAAACTCTAGCCTTTAATCAGAGTAGATGCCATTCTTAATTCCACATGAATGAAAGCAAGGTTATGAACAATGAAAATATATCTTTCCATAAACTTTATGAAAACATGGCTGTATCTCGGCCCTTAAGACATTGAACAGACGGTCTGTCCCTCACAGCCTCGCTCTCATCCATGTCAAATAAACATGTCCAGCCTGATTAATGTCTATGTTAACATCAGCGCTGCTTTTAATACAGTCAGAAGCTAGCAGTCTTGCGGTTGAGCTTCATGAGGGAAAACCACATGCTGTTTGAATCACAATCTAGCGAGAGCAGCTCTAGCTGCTGTCTGGAGATCCAGTGTCTATATGAACACATGCCAACATGCATGGCATGCTTCTTACCCACAATCCTTTGCGGTGGAGTTGTGCACCACACCCGAACAGACTTTGCAGGAAACTCATCAAGAAATATATGATCCTCATTCTGAAATAGAGCAACATACAAAATGAATATTTCAGTCAGAGAAGCAGCATCTGTTCTGCAGTCTGGATTTGCATCTGCAATCGCCATTTCTCCACTTATTTTATAGACATCTGCTGTAGAAACTGTTTTCTCTTGTCTTAATGAAGCAGACAGAGGTCATTAAAGCAATAGTTACCCAAAAATGAATATGATACACACCCTCGGGCCATCCACAATGAGTTTGAGATTTGGAGAAATGTAGCATTGCATCCGTGTCTCAGTAATGGATGCTCTGCAGTGAATGGGTGCCGTCAGAATGAGAGTCCAAACAGCTGATAAAAACATCACAATAATCCACAAGTAATCCACACCACTCCAGTCCATCAGTTAATGTCTTGAGAAGCCAAAAAGCTGTGTGTTTGTAAGAAACAAATCCGACTTTAAGGCGTTTTTAACTTCAAACCGTAGTTTCCGGCTAAAATACGAGTCCATAATCCATAAAAATGCTTCCTCCGATGAAAAAGTGGTCTGAATCAGAAGAGAAATCTGCACAGATCAAGCACCGTTTACAAGACAAAACAGCTCTAAACAAATATGTGGCTGGATTTTGATGTGAGAGATAACAGGAACTTTTGAGGAACTTTTTCCACTGGAAAAAGTTATTATGGACTTGTATTTTAGCTGGAAACAACGGTCAGTACGCCTCGATGGATTTTTTTTTTTAACCTTGAAATTTCAGTTTCAAAATCATTTTGATGGTACACTGACTTTTTCTTCCCCAAGCATCTGTTCTGGGAGTTTGTATGGTTGGAGAGCAGGGTCAATTCCGAGGAAAGAGCAGATTGCTTTACAGCAGCATTCAACAAATGCGCGTGTACAGCTGTACTACACTGTAATTACAACAGTCAATTCCGCTCACTTAAAGGGGTCCTATTATGTTTTTTCACTTTTTTAATTTTAGTCAATGTGTAGTGTGTATGTTTGGGCATAAAAAAGATCTAGAAAGTTACAAATCTCAAAGTCCACTCCAAAGGGAGATATTTAGTTTTTTAAAAAATCCATTTTCAAGAACTACAGCAAATGGCTCGTTTGGACTACAGCGTTTGGTTTCTGGGCTTTATGATATCACAAAGCGACTCATTAGAATTTCATTACAAATAATTCCCGCCTGCAGAAATGTGAATGGTTGGGGGGTGGGGAGGGGCGAGGTTGTGGTTAGAGCGCTTGGTTGAGTGAGTGCATCAGACGAGACGACGAAGAAGAAGTGCTGCTGCAGAGTTAGTGCATCAGAGAAAACTAAGAAGAAGAGCTGCTGTGCTGTAGCGTCAAATTTTTGGCATGTCTAGAACAGCGGTTCTCAATTCCAGTCCTCGCGTACCCCCGCTCTGCACATTTTGTATGTTTCTCTTATTGCTTCATACTTTTGTTATATTTGACTGTAAGTGCCCTGCGAAGTGGACATTAC